TAATCTATTTCTGGGGGTTTTTGTTACCCCTTTCTGTTTATTTAGCATATCCTTTAGAGTTTGAGTTGATCTTTCTATGACTGCTTGGCCTGTAGGATTGTGTGGTATATCTGTAATATGCTTTATAGTGTAATAAGCAAAAAACGGTTTCATTTTACCAGAGACATAATGCTGGAGCATTGTCAGTTTTAATTTGTACAGGTATACCCATGATGGCCATAACTTCTAGCAAATGTGTGATTACAGAATCAGTCTTTTTAGAATTCAGAGCAGTTGCCTATTAAAATCCTGAATAGGTATCAATGGTGTACATATTTCAATTTTCCAAATTCTACAAAATAAAACACACTCATCTGCCAGATTTTGTTCCTCTCAGTACCCTTTGGGTTACATCCTGCTGGTAGTAGAATTCAATTGTAAAAAGAACAAGTAGACAGAAAAGGGGAAGTACTGTGGGATGTCTTTCTGTACACTGTGAATATGTGTTGCTATGATTGGTTAATAAAGAATCTGCTCTGGACTATCACGAATCAGGTTATAGCCAGGCAGGAAATCCAAGAGAGATACAGGAAGACAAAAGGCAGAGGCAGGAGAGACGCCTGCCTGCCACCCAAGGAGCAACATGCCAGCATACTGGTAATATACCACAGCCATGTGGCAAAACATAGATTAATAGAAATGGGTTAATTTAAGATGATAGAGCTAGCCAGAAACTTAAGCCATTGGCCATACAGTTTGTCATTAATGTAAATCTCTGAGTGATTATTTTATAAGCGGCTGTGGGGATGGGCAGGACAGGAGAAAACTTATGGCTACAATTAAGTGTATGGCATTAAACCAAATTATCGAATATCTCTATGCTTTTTTTTTTTTTTTTTCTAAACTGGAGGTGATAATAGCACCCACTTGGCTCCAAGGAGGATTGTTGGGAGGAGCAAAGGAGGTGATGCAAAATTAGGACGCAAAAAACTTTGCAGTGTGGTGTTGTGTTCATGTTAGTGTTGTACATGGTTGTGTGACAGACAGCCCTATGGTAGATATTCTGGTATGCTTTGATTGGGGGAAACTGAACAAAACCGAAGTATTAGCAGGTCTGGGTCCTTTTTGGCCCTGTATGGTAAGATGGCATCCATGGATTTAACAGGTCATATGTGAAATTACAGGAGAGGCCTGTGAATCTATCAGAAGGTTGTATGAGCTGAGAATATCTGTCTCTTTTTGCTGTAGACTTGGCCTATGCTCTGCCACTTGAGCATCATGGTCTGAGGAGGGAGGCCAGCCTGTTCTTTAATGTGATCTGAAGTTGGGCATCTCAATGGATCAGTGGACCTTGGCTTCTGGTCCCAGTCTTCTGCCCATATCAGTTGTATCATGCATTTGGCTGTCATTAATTTCTTTTGAGTATTCTATGTCTCCTGTTACAATTGGATCAGAGAAAATACTAGAAGACTTTTATATTTATATCTTGACTATCCCTTTGTAATAGTAGCAACCCAATAGTAGAAATGTTTGTGGAATTAATTAGGTGAGGCCAGAGACAAAACGTTGAGTTGTCCTTGCAGCTAACACTGTACTGGACTTCCTTTTCCTGTCTCCTGACTCCCACTGTAGTCACACTCATTCCTTCTGTGAGGGTGAGAGCTGTTCATATTCACCTGAAAAATCGTTTTGGCATTGCTTGGAAAGAAGATCTGGAGTTAGAGAGATATAGTATATAACAAATAAAATGAACACTAAAAAGGAAAGTTGAGTAATTTACAGAGAAAACTTGGCCATTCCCTTAACTCCTACAATTCTCAGCTCCTCTCATTGTTTATCTTACAAGTTTGTTTTGAAAATCAAATGAGAAAATGTGGCTGAACTTTTTCTAAACTGAAGTGTCAAA